CAACACTTGAACTGGCACACTTAAAACCAAAGGAAGAACCACTCCCTTTGACGGGAGCGGGTCTTCACTTCGTCCGGGTCGTACCTCCTCCACGTCCGAGTAGGCATTGAAAAGGCCGTCGACCGAGACAGTGCGAATCTCGTACACCTGAGCCGGGTCAAGACCGCGGAGAAGAATGCTGTCGTCGTAGTACTCGATCGGAGACGACATCCAGGACGCCTCGCCGGCCCGCCTGCGGCGCGCGGGGTCAGGTCAGCGTCGGCCCGGACTCTCAGGCGCAGCAGCAGCAGCCCCAGCCCCAGCCCCAGCCAGCTCTCACTCACTCCTCACACAGCCCGTGATGACAAGCCCACGCGACAGCCCCGCGCGCGCCGCGCCGTGCGACCGTCACGCCGACCTCGGCACCGCGGGGCCGGCTGGACGCGGCGTCCAGACCAGGCCCAGCGCGGGCGCCGGGCCGCAGCCGCGACTGAGGCTCGGCCGCTGACCGCAGCCGGCGCCCTCACCTGTACTGCACGAAGAAGTGTGAGCCCGGCCGACCCTCCGTGTTGGGCAGCCAGGTGATCTTGAGGTTGTTCTCGGAGCCTTCCTCGCCGCGCACGTGCGCCCAGAGCAGGCTGGGCCGGTCCGGCTGCTGCGTCTGGGGGCTCTTCGTGGTCCGCTCGATGTAGTACCTGCAGCGACGGTCCCGAGTTGACGCGCCTCGGTCAGAGCGGCTCGGCATCTTACAGAGCGACGATGGCGCTCGACGTGGTGCCATAGTTCGGGTGGCAGCGTCAGGGCGCCAACAGCCGACGCCGTTGACGCGTCATAATACCCCAAATATATATATATGACGGTGCAAGGTGGGACAGCTTGCACCGAGGTCAGAATTTCGAGTATTTCGCAAGCTTTTTAAAATAATGGGATACTCGTTCCCTTGAAGGCCGATCGGCAAACACGATCTTTTGTTTGTTCGCAAGGTATCGAAAGTTATCTGTCCGCTAAAGGCAGAGCGTCGTGATTTCATGACAAATATCTTGTCGTATGCTGTGGATCATCGCCGGGATCAATGAACAGCTGAACCAGCATGGTGAATGTCCCGGAACATGGGGCGGCTCATAATTCCGTCATGTGTTTTTGCTCATTTTCAACACCCTCCCTGATTACACCCTGGCTGCGCTTGGGGCAAATCCCTCCCCTGGTTACGTAGTGCTAAGCGCAACGTCCCAGAAAGGTTCAGATCATTTTCCCTCGAGAACGGACGCCCGCGTTGCCCGGCCCGACGGCGCGATAACTCTACGACCTGAGTTCAAGTTGAGGGCAATTCAAATTTAAGAAAATGACGGGACGGTTCTTTGGCACCTGGATCACACAGCCCGGCGTTTTTGGCGTTTTTTTTCTCGCGTAATGACCCTGCTAGTCCCGCTACAGGACTTCAGACTAGAAACGTGACACATGTTTCCTTCGTCACGACTTACAAAAGGGCATATGGTCGGCATAAGCCTCCTAGAGCACGTAAAATAACGGGAAACTAATTTGTACGAGCATCAAGTTCAAGCAGCTCTTCACGCTCCTCAAACTGCGACCTTGACAGGCGGAACACCCGTACCCCTAGACTAGCCCAGAGACACCTGACCGCCTGACCAGTCGCACTTCTCTGATGTGTAGCATTCGCTTGTCAATCCCACGCCTGCGCATGCGCACCACGTGGGCGGACAGGCCGCCAGCGGGCACCGTCGCGCTGACCTCCTGCTCGGTCGGGGGCCGTACCCCGCCGCACTGGCCGAGCCGGCCGGGCCGAGCCGGCCGGCCAGGCCAGGCCAGGCCAGGCCAGGTCAGGTCAGGTCAGGTCAGGTCAGGTCAGGTCAGGTCAGGTCAGTCAGGACCAGACCGGGCCGCCCCGGTGACGCCAGCGCCGGAGCCGCGCCGGGTACTCACGGCGGTCCCTCGCCGGCTTCCGTCAGCGCGCGCACTGTGATGCGGTACTTGGTCGACGGCTTGAGGCCGGCCAGCTTGGTGCGCGTGGTGCGCGGGTTGGTGATCTGCGGCGTGCGGTCCAGCACCGGACCCAGGCTCAGGCCGTTCATCTTCTGGTACTCCACCTTGTAGCCCGTCAGCACGCCGTTGGTTTCGCGCGGCTTCTTCCAGATCAGGAAAAAGGCGGACGAACCCATCGGGACGGCCTCGAGCGAATCGACGGCACTCGGCCCTGCGGGGAGGATGGGGGGGGGGGGGGGGGCGTCAGCCGAGCCCAGCGCGCCGCCGGCCGGGGCAGCGGCGGACCGGCGCTGCCGCTGATGCCTGCCCGCCGACGCCCACACCCGCCAGACAACGCTAACAGCTAGTCACGCCCGGACGGAGCGGCCGCACATTCAGGCGGGACAGCGAACTAACAGCCCACCGGCGAAACAGGGTCACGTGTATGACCACGCCGCACATCGGACCTGAGAGTTTCCCTCGCTTGTCAGGTGCACACCGCGTTGTGCGCCCGTTGGAGCGAACACTAAGTGGGAGCAGGTGTCAGGAACATTGATAAGCGAAGCGGGCCCACCACACACATTTTCAGGTAACAGCGGACACAGCCAACACCACGACTCCCAGCCGCACTCAAGAATACCCCCACCCCAGCCGCGCGTGGCCGAACGGCACCGGGCCCGACCGGCACCGGGTGGTCTCGGAGCAGCACGCTCCGGGCTGAACGCGCCGCGCCGAGACTCGGGGCTCCCCGGCGGCGCATACTCACGGCCCTGCGGCGTGTCGAAGGTCAACACCTCGCTCGGCGGTCCCTCGTACATCCGGTTGAAGGACAGAATCTGCACCTTGTTGCGCGCGTGCGGCTTGAACTTGGTGACGAGCCCCTGGGTCACGTCTGGCCCGAACGACATCTCGCGCTTCTTGTCGGTGCCCTCCTTCTCGGTCCAGGTTTGGATCTGGCGACGGCGAGGCGCGGGCCGGATCAGGGGCGGCACAGCGCGGCACGACCGCCGCCGAGGGGCGGGGAGCGGCCGCCCGCGGCAGATCCGCGCCGGCTCAGACCGGCGCGCGGCAACCACCGGCGCAGTCCGCGCCGACAGGCCGGAGCGGCGTCTAACACGCCGCGGCGAGCGGCCGACTATCAGCGGCGGTGTTCGTGGACTTCACCCCGCCACTAGCCGCTCGGTGCCTCGCGTCCGTCAATACACGACTCACAACGGCGCCAGTGACGGCGTCTCAGCCAGCCGGCCGAGCGCCCGCCGGAGCGGCCGGTGCCGGAGGACGCCGGCGCTCACCTTGTACCCGAGGAACTCCCCGCGGATGGTCGAGTTGTCCACGGGGCTCCACGAGAAGAGCGCGCGCTTGCCGTCGTAGATCTTCTCCAGCCGGAAGTTGGTAGGCGGCGCCGTGGGCACTGTCGGACACAGAGCGGGCACCTCAGCCTTCCCACCGCCCTCCAGGTACGCCCCAGCAGCAGCGACTCTTCGCCACAAAACGCGCCGAATCATCGTTTTTTCTGATTTGTTGGGTGCTGGACGAGGGGCATTTCACATTCACTGACGCAACAAAAACACATAGGATTGTGTCTAGCAGATCTCAACGGACAGCCGGGCGTGTCAGTGCTGGATAACCGTGGGTCCGACAGACCTGCTTCAAGCCCTGCCCACGCACCGCTCTGGCGCATGTGTCGGCAAGCACGCGCCGTCCCTCGCAGTCCGCGGCGCCGCGCCACCGAGCGCGTGGTCGCGACAGCGCGTCCCCACCGCCGCAGCCCCGCGTCGCAAATGACGAGCCCGCCGCGCCGCCCGACCACTCACCGTCCTCGCCCGAGTAGCCGATCACCTCGGCCGACTCGACCACGCTCTCGCCCAGCTCGTTCAGCGCGTCCACGCGGATCTTGTACGGCACGTAGGTGGGCTGGTTGGGGATCACCAGATGGCCGCGCCGCCAGTCCATGATCACCTTCTGGTTCCACTCGGCGTTCGACTCGTTGCGCTTCCAGCGGACGAGGTAGCGGAACTTGGGCGCGTTGTGGTCGATCTTCGACATTGGCTGCGGACGACCGGCGGGTCAGGCCGGCCGGCCGCTGGATGGTTGAGGCAGCACGCCAGTGCCACGGGGACGGGCTCCAAGACCGATCAAGGCAAGAAGGGTAACGAAACAATCACTGATCAGAACAAGTGTGACGGCGTCGATCAAGACGAAGGTGACGTGACAAGTCACGGATCAAGGCGAGTGGGATAATGAGACAACGCACCGACCAAGACAAGTACGATAGGACAGGTCACCGATCAAGACAAGTGGAATAACGAGACAACTCACCGATCAAGATAAGCGTGACGAGACAAGGCGCCGATCACGACAGGTGTGACGAGACAACTCACCGATCTAGACAAATGGAATGACGAGACAACTCACCGATCAAGACAATGGAATGACGAGACAACTCACCGATCTAGACAAGTGGAATGACGAGACAACTCACCGATCAAGACAAGTGGAATGACGAGACAACTCACCGACCAAGACAAGTGGAATAACGAGACAACTCACCGGTCAAGACGAGTGAGACAGCGAGCTAACTCGCCGACCAAGATCAGTGAGACAGCGGGCCCACTCGCCCATACGTGCTCATCGGTACGTACAGCCCTCTTGACACAAGGCGCCTAACGGGGCCGGCGGGGAGCCACTCGCAACGCGACCGGCGACGGACGAGGCCGCACGAGGCCGGCGCACTCACCGTCCAGCGGATGACCAAGTTGTCCGGCTTCGTGCCGCGGCCCTCCACGTTCTTGGGATTCTTCTCGGGCAGCGCCCTTGGGCGTGGTGCACACCTCCGAGTGGCCGGACGGCAGCGACGGGCCCACGCGGTTCTTCGCGATCACGCGGAACGTGTAGTTGGCCCAGGGGCTGATGCTGACCGTGTAGCTGCTGCTCGAGGCTGGCGAGTTGGCCGCCTCTTCCCAGGTGTCAGGCGCGAAGCTGGTGTTGTACTGGATGGTGAAGCCCAGGATCGGTGCGCGGTTGTCGCCGTTCGGCTGCCACCCCCACTTCGGCCACCTGCTCCCTAGGGGCAGCGCACGGGCGGCGTCACACAGGCGGGGGGCAGAAAGCACTGGTCATACTTAGGACAACACCACAGGCAGCATCAGCGGGCGGGGGCGCCAGTAACACGGTCACCACTCAGAGACGACACACGGGCGGCGTCAGGCAGGCGCAGGGGCCGTGGAACTGGTCCGCATCAGCGGTCAGACACCGGGCCGCATCAGGTGGGCAGGGCCCACGCCATTCCAAGAGGACAGGCACCGGGTCGCGCCAGGTGACAGCGACCCCGCCAGTCTGGAGCGACTCCCGCACCGCGCGCGACGTCAGTCACCCTCAGAGACAGGGTGCGCGCCCACGGCGGGCCCCATCCACGGGCGGCACGCGGCCGAGCGGGCGCGTCAGCCGGCCCCGTCGCCTCACCTGCAAGCGACGGTCTTCAGCGTCGGCGCGTTAGGCACGTCCTCCACCTTGAGCGTGGCGTCGTCCCGCGCCTCGTCCAGCTCGGTGGACGCCACGCACGTGTACACCTTGGAGTCGAGCTCGGTCGTCTTGGTGATGGTCAGCGAGTTGTCCGACGTCTGGATGAACCTGTAGCCGCGACAGCAACGCGTTCGGGTGGGTTGATTGACAATGAGCTCGCTCCACGCAGGTACAGCGCTGCAGAAGTCCTGCTTGAAGTCCCGTTTATGTATCTATGTGGGGTATACCATGGCGTGCCGAACATGCTCCCACGCTCGCCAGCATTAATAGCAAAGCATTACCTTGTCTTGACAAAGCGGACAGCCACTTGTTTCAGACCGGGCAGGCGGGGTATGTAGACACAACATGCCTACGTAGACACAAGGCAGCTCCCAGAAATTCACGGATATCACATCGGAATTAGACACACAAGCTGGTAGGAACACCACCTTAACAAGGGCAACAGCGAAAACGTCGCCCGCACGCCGAACAAGCAGCTCGTAAACCGCCGGGCAGCACGGCGCGCGTTCTGCTCGACACTGGCTTCGGTCGGCGGCGCGCGCTCCAGTCGGCGGCGCGCGCTCTCGTCGACGCGGCGCTCACCTGGGCTCGATGTCGAAGTTG